CGCGTAGAGGCAGATCGTTTTCGAGGCGGTGGTGACTTCGCGCAGGGAGGAGAATGCTGGTATCCGGTCCAGCGGCAGGAGGGTCAGCGCTAGCAGCGGCGCCGTGCCGACCAGGCCGTGCCGGAGGGCCATGCGGTCTGTCGCCCAGTTCGCTCCGAGGACGTCCAGACCGGGCGCGAAGCGGAAGAGAAGCGGAATCACCAGGAAGGCGGCTGGGTTCGCTGCGAAAGTGACGACGGTGCGCCAAGCGAAACGCGGCAGCGGCGACGCTGGCAGCGGGAGCACGCCATCCGAACGCTGAGCTGCTGCGCTGCTGAGCTGAAGCGCGGAGAAACGCGGTGGCGGCAGCGCCGGCCGAGGTGAGGGGCTGTAACTGAGCAGCAGTGCCGCGAGCGCGACTGCCATGGGCAATTTGGTTTTCTTTTGGGGGGTTGGGTGCAAGGGCGCTGAACAACCTTCCGAAGACCGAGCGATGAAGAGGTTTAAAGAAAAACCCGCGGGACTGCAGCCTCTGACTGGGCCATAGCTTCAGCTGCCCCCCCCCCCCACCACGACCTCTGCCTGCAGCCTCTATCTGCCATTAGTGCCACCAAACGATGGCCGAGCTCTGCACAGTCGTCGTCGCGCCCAAGGAATGGTACTCCTGGGCCGTCGAGCAGCTGTGGGCGGTGCTCGAGACCTCGCCGTGCGCGGAGCTCATCTACCTCCTCTCGCCTCCCTTCCCGGCCGAGCTCGCCGATGCGCTGGCGGCGGCCCAAGCCCGCCACCCGCACCTCCGCGTGCTGCGCCTCGGCCTGCTGGAGAACCCCTACGCGATGCGCCAGCGAGCCGCGGAGGACGTGCGCACGCGCTACGCCGCCTTCCTGGGCAACGACACATTCCCGACCGCCGGGTGGCTCGAGGCGCTCGTCGCGGTGGCCGAGGCGCGGCTGGAGTGCGCGGTGGTCCAGCCGATCATGCTCGAGCGCTCGGTCACGCACGATGACACGTTGCACGTTTGGTGGCACCCGCTGCGGCTGCTCGACCACGAGGACGGCCGCAGCCCGCAGCTGCTCACCCGCTTTGACGAGGCGGCGACGCGCCACGGGCAGCCCGCGCTCCAGCAGCGGCTCGAGCCGGAGCAGCGGCTGCAATTTGTCGAGGACCACGCGCTGCTCGTCCGCTGCCTTCCCTAGGACCTTTCCTAGACCTTTCCTAGACCTTTCCTAGGACCACGCGCTGCTCGTCCGCTGCGACGCGTTCGCGCCGCGCGGCGGGCCGCCGCTCTGGGACCCGCTCGCCTGCCACCGCCGCGAGTTCTTCGACCTGGCCTTGTCTAGGAAAGGTCTAGGACAGGTCTAGGAAAGGCCCTAGGGAAGGCAGCCGGCTGGCGTCCCTTGTCTAGGCGTGGACGGTGGGTGCGGCGGGCTTCACGGCGCTGCTGCAGCCGGCGTCTGTCGTGACGTACCGCAAGGTGCGGCCGCTGCGCGTGGGCGACTTGCCGATCTTCGTCGCGCGGCGGCACGACGAGGCGTCGCTAAAGTCGTGCGAGCACATCGACGCCAAGTGGGGCATCCGGTGTCGCGTCGACCGCTGGCACGAGGGGCACCGCGACGAGGCGCTGACGGGCACCTGCTTCGACGCTCGCGCCGCGCCGCCAGCTGACGCGGCGGAGGCCGCCTCGGGTGCGGGCGCGGCGGGGGCGGAGGGAGCGGCAGATTGCATACCGGCAGACGCGGCGTGGCTGGTGCGCCTGTTGCTCTGCCTGCTCGCGCTCATCGGCTTCAACCGCTTCGATCTGTCCGTCTGCGCTTGCGCCGCCGACGCGGCGGCGGCAGGCGGCGAGGCGGGCGGCGAGGCGGGCGGCGAGGAGGGCGGCGAGGAGGGCGGCGAGGCCTCGCTCGCCGTCGTCGCGGCGCTGCGGCACGTTGACACGCTTTGCCGGCGCGCCGAGTCGTTGGCGGCGGAGGGCCCGGCGTGCGAGCTGCGCGTCTCGCCGCGGCAGCTCCGCGCGTTGGGCGACGGCAGCATGCCCAGCGGCGCGGGCGGCAGCGGCCACCGACAGACGCTCGCGTCGCTCGGCCTCGTGGCGCGAGACACGTTTGCCTCGGTGGAGGAGGCGGAGGCGGGGATGCCGTTGGTCGTCGTCGCTGTGCCGGTTGCGCCGCCGCCGGCTCTCTCCGCTGCGGCGGAGGGCGCGACGGAGGAAAGCGTGGCGGCGGTGGGGGCCACTGTAGCCGCTGCTGAGGACGCGGCGTCGACTGAGCTCTCGCAGGAGCAACTCAACGGCCTGCACAAGCGGTTTGAGGTTCTGCGCGGCTCGATCGAGGCGCCCGCGCCCTTCTTCGCCTGCGCGCCGCCGCCGGTGCAAGAGGCGCTGCAGGACTTCAACCTGCACATCCACCGCCTCGAGGACCTGCATCGGCAGGTCGAGCGCCTCGCGATGGGCAAGCGGCCGACGCCGCGCATCGTCGTCGCGTTCGACCCGCGCCGGCCGCGCACGCCGCTGTCCGACGGCGAGATGCGCCACTTCACGGTGCGGATGGAGTTCGGCGCAGTCTATCTCAACTACTGCGTGGTCGGAAAGCACCTGATGGAATTGTTCCAGGACGACGACGAAGACGAGTGCGGCGACGAGAACGTGCGGCCGCAGCGTACGATGAGTGCCGACGCTCAGTGCTACTTTGGGCCCTCGATGAGCGAGGAGGAGGCGGCGCAGAAGCTGTCGGACTTCCACGATTGGCTGAGGGCCTCGCCGCACCGGCGGAGGAGCTGGTGTCCGCTCGAGCAGCAGCAGCTCGCGCTAGGCCGCATCCCCGTCGCGGCGCTCGACCGCAGCCACCCCAGCATCGCGGGACTCAGCGAGGAGCAGATCGTCGACAAGATCGCGGACTTTCAGGAGCTGTGCTCGCTGCGTGTTGTCCCGCACGCGCGGCTGCAGCAGAGGCCAGGGCCATGAACCGTGCAGTGAAGCTTGACCCGTGTGCGGCTGCAAGCGACTCAAGTAACACAAATTGTATTAATACCAGCTTCACCTCGATCGATTTTTTATTCGCGCAATCACCAGCACGCGCCAGCACACGCCACACCCCCCCATGCAGTCACAGGTTGCTGTCCTTGCGCGCGGCTAGGCCGCCTCCGCCTTGGCCCTCGCGGCGGCCGCTGACGCGCGCCTCGCCTTGACAGCAGCCAGTGCCGCCTCCGCCGCCTCCGCCGCCTCCGCCGCCGCCGCCGCAGCCGCAGCCGCAGCCGCAGCCGCCGCAGCCGCTTCCGCGGCGGCCGCCTCCTCCTCTGCTGCTGCCAGAGCGTCCGCCTCGGCTTCAGCCTCCCGGCGCGCCTCCGCTGCCACCAAGGCTGCCTCCTCACCCGCCTCCGCCGTCTCCTCCTCGCTCGCTTCGCCTGCCGCTTCTCCCAACGCCTCCGCCAGCCCCTCGACCGACGTCTCCGCCGTGATGCCGTACCGAATCCGCTCCTCGTGGAGCGTCTCGAGAAGCCTGATCAACCCCTCCCTGTCCAGCTTCGCGGGCTTGGCTGCGGCTGCCTCTGACGCCGCCTCGGGCTCCTGCGACGGCCCAGCGCCGCCACTCCCGCCGCCCTTCTTCTTCTTCTTCCCCTTCTTGCCCTTGCCGCGCTTCTCCGCCTCGACCTCCGCCAGCAGCTCCTCGGCGTGCCGCGCCGCCTCCGCCTCCGCCGCCGCCCGCTCCGCCGCCCTCTCCGCCGCCCCCGTAGCCCACGCCGCCTCCTTCGCCGCCTTCTCTGCCGCCGCCTTGGCCGCCGCATGCTCCTCGAAGGCGCGCACGCACTCGGCGTTGCCCTGTTTCTTGGCAATCTGCAGCGCTGTGTGTCCACTCGCCCAGCGCAGTTCCGTGTCGGCGCCCGCCCGCAGCAGGCAGAGCAGGACGGCGGGACGGTCCGCAAAAGCGGTGCCCATCAGTGCGGTGAGGCCGACGCTGTCCTGCTGGTTGATCTCCGCGCCATGATGCAGCAGCAGCTTGACCACCCGCTCGTGGCCCAGGAGGGCGGCGCCCATCAGCGCGGTGCTGCCGCGGCAGTCCTGCTGGTCGATCTCCGCCCCGCCCCGCACCAGCAGCTCGGCCACCCGCTCGTGGCCGTTGGCGCACATCAGCGCGGTGTTGCCGACGCTGGTCTGAAGGTCGATCAAAGCGCCACGCTGCAGCAGCGCCACGGCCAGCCGCTCGTGGCCGTAGAGGGCGGCGGCCATCAGCAGCGTAAAGCCGCTCTCACCCTTACGAGTGAAAGTCGCGTCCACCCGCCCGCCGCCGTCGAGCCATGTCAGCACCGTCGCCTCGTCGCCTTCCTTAGCCGCCTCCACGACCTCATCGGGGACGGCGTCCTCGCCTGTTCCGCTCTCCACGCCGCCAAAAGAGGACGCGGCAGTTGGTGCCGCCGCCGCCCCCTTGCCCGAGGCGGCATCGCCGTCCGCCCCTGCGCCGTCCGCCTTGCTGATCTCCTCGGGAACAGGCCCGCTGCTGCCGCCCGAAGCGCTGCCTGCCCCCGCGCCGCCCGCCTCGACCGCCGCCGCGTCGCGCCTCGCCGCCGCCACCTCGCCGAGAAACGTCTTGACGGCGGCGACGCACTCGGTGTGACCATTCTCCTTGGCGATCTGCAGTGTCGTCTTGTCCGCTGTGCGCAGCGCCATGTCTGCGCCCGCCCGCAGAAGCTGGAGCACGATGACAGGGTGGCCGTAGAAGGCGGCGCTTGTGAGCGCAGTGTATCCGTCGCTGGCTTGAAGGTTGATCTCCGCCCCGTGCCGCAGAAGCAAGTCGACCACGCGCTCGTGGCCTTGGCAGGCAGCGTACAACAGCGCGGTGCTGCCGTTGATGCCCTGCGTGTTTCTCTCCGCGCCTTGCTGCAGCAGCGTCTCGACCACCTGCACGTGGCCGTTGAGGGTGGCGGCCATCAGCGCCGTAGCGCCTTTGCTGTTTTGCGCGTCCGGCTTCGCGCCCCGCTTCAGCAGAACCTCGACCAGCTGCTTGTGACCGTAGGCGGCGGCGATCAGAAGAAGCGTCCAGCCACTCACACCGCCACGCACGCACGTCGCGTCAACCAGCCCGTCCCTGGCGAGCCACGTCTGCACCACGCCCACCTTGCCGGCCGCCGCCGCTGCTTGAATCGTTTTCGGCAGCGCGTCCGGTGCGATAGCCGCCGTTGAAGCGCGCCCGCGCCCTTTGCCAGCGGCGGTTCGGCCAGGCATGCGCCGCAAAGTTGTTTGTTTGGCGCGCGAACGTACAAGTTTGCAAAGAAAACCTAACAAGTTTTCTTTCTTTCTTTCTTTCTGTGGGGTGTTCTTTCTGTCTTGCGTTTGGCTAAGAAGAAGAAAAATTCAGGGCATTCAGTGCAGTGCTGATGATGTGAGAGATCTGATCTGGCGAGCGCGCTTCGACGAGAAGTGGCTTTTCCTTTTGACCTCTTTATTCTTTTTTGGGTTGTGTGGGGCTCGCTGCGGGGGGGGGCCCTCTTTACAGATTGTGCCTCCCCCCTCCGGACTCCCACACACGTCCTCCCACCTAGCACCTTTTCCTCCCTGTGCATCGCAGAGCCCGCCCAACAACCACTAAGTGCTTCCACTATCTGAGCCCCCCCCACCCCCCTCCCCCCTCCCGCCCTCCCCTTCCTCTTCTCCCCCTCCGTCCCAGCTCCACTCGGGGGATAGCGGGAGAGGAACAAAATGCAAATTGATGGGCTTGCCCATCCGGCCCATCCCGGAGTGGTTCGACCCCACACAAAATCACCGCTGACGTCTCACTGTGAGATGTTGGAGAGGGGGGACGACACTGCTTCGGCAGCGTGCACCTCGATCCTGTACCGTGTTTCAGTCTGTTCCAGCATTCTTTTTTTGAGCTAGCCTTCGATGTTATGAAACAAACGCAAGGCGGACACAAGAACATCGCTCTCTCGGTCACGCAGGCCGCAAAGAAAGAACAGAGAAGCCAAGGGAGGGATGGGAGAACGGCACGCCGCCACCACACAGGGATTTTAAGGAGAGGGGTGTGGTGCGCAGGCCGCACATTGTTTTTACCCGGAGGAGGAGTTCTTGAGTGCAGTCTTTGTTATTTATACCAAAAGGAGGGCTACACGAGGCCCTCTACGCTGCGTGGGGTGCCGGCGCCCTACTGGGCGCCCCCCACTCCCTTCCCTTAAGAGCCCCCCATCCCCTTTACCCCCCCCCCCCCCCCCCGCGGTCCCTCGCGGCCGCGCGACGCCGCACCAATGGCGCGCTGTGCCTCGTCCGCGAGCGCCGTCCAGAGCTGCACCGACAGTCGCTGCAGCGCAAACGGCATCCATTCGCGCGCCGACCACGACGTCTGGTCGTACTGCCACCACGTGAGCTTCCGGCCCGCCACCTCAGCCACCCGCATCAGCAGCTCCTCCACCCCCGCGCTCATTGCGCCGAACTCCTCGAAGAGCAGCGCCTCCACATGGCACTTCCCCTCTGCGTCCGTGTACTGGCCCTTGACAGCCTCAACCGTCCCGGTCCCCGTCCGCGGATCCCACCGTCCCACCCTCCCACCCCTGTCCCCGCCCTCCACGCCCAGAACCGTCTCGCGGGCGGGTGGCAGCTTGTTGCCGCAAGCGACGAACGCCCCCATGCGCCCCACCCCCGAGGGGTCCGACGGCACACCGGCAAAGATCTTCAGGGCAGGTCCCCAATCACGCCCTGGTAAATGTACAAGTCCGTCCTCGTCGTGCTGTGCTCGCAGTGAAACTCGTGCTCCACCGCGCCGCGCCCCAGCTTGCCCCGCAGCAGCTCGACGAGGTCCAGGAGGACCTCCTTGTGCCGCGTCTGGTGGCCCGCCGCGCCGTCGTTCTGCGCCACGTCGCCAAGGGCGTCAAAGGGCAGATGTGAATTGTCGCGGAGTAGAGCTCTATCGGCGCTGAGCGTGTTGGAGAAGATTGCTGCGCGAGCTCCATTCGGTAAGACTGGTCTTTGCCGCACGCCCACTGCGAAACCTACCGCAGCCATGAGCGATGGCCCTTCGCTTGGAGGACGAGTGCGTATCTATTGGCCCTCGGAAAAGCGCTGGTTTCGCGGTGAGGTCAAGCTCCGCCGGATGAAGCGAGGCTGTGCCGAGCACCGGGTCGACTACGACGACGGCGACTCGCGCTGGCATAACTTGGAGAGCGAGGCCTGGCTTCATCTGGCCCAGCCTCGCCAGACGATAACGCCCAGCCCGCAGCAGTACCAAAAGCGGCGGCGGCGGCGGCGGCAGGAGGACGAACCAGTTCTGTTCGTCGTGGAGCGCATTATGGAGGCGCGCACTAGCGATGGCGGCGCGCGGGAGTTCCTCGTGCGGTGGGCGGGCTACAGCGCGGAGCACGACTCTTGGGAGCCCAGCTGCAGCTTCCTCGACCGTGCACCAATCGAGGCATTCGAGGCGGCGCGGCGGCCAAACCTGTCGAGCCGAGCTGGAGGCGCGGCGGCGAACGGAACAGCCGTCACCCACGTAGCAGCACAAGCGCCGCCTTGTCCGCTGCCCGTTGGCCCGCTGGATGCATCAGCACCGCCGGCTGGCAGCGCGGCGATGCCGGAGCCGGCGCGCAGGGTCGAGTTGCTGCCTGGCGGGGCGGCCAAGCTCTCTGGGTTCCTCTCGGAGCGGCTCAAGCAGGCGTGTGTCTTTTGCACACCTCTGCCCTCTGCCTCTCCTCGCCTCCGCCTCCGCCTCGCCTCGCCTCTCCCTCTCCACGCCTCGCCTCGCGTCAGCCTCGCCTCGCCTCCGCCTCCGCCTCCGCCTCCGCCTCTCCTCGCCTCGCCTCAGCCTCGCCTCAGCCTCCATCGCCTCTCCACAGACCTCTCCTCGCCTCCGCCTCCGCCTCAGCCTCTCCTCCCCTCTCCTCAGAACCTGTACGACACCGCCCTCATCAGCGGCTGGGACTTTCGCGACGCCGGCCGCGCAAACCTGCGCTACACAGGCGCGGCGGTCCCTCTCCCGCTTCTCCGCTTCTCCGACCCCTTCCTCACTCTGCCACTACTCCCCTCGCCGCACCGCGCCACACACCAAGCACGTGCAGGGCGGGGACACATGCACCATGCACCATGCACCATGCGCATGCACATCCGGGTGGGGACATGCACATGTACATGTCCCATGGTCGGATGTGGTGCGCCCCACCATCTCGTCGCCGCCTCCTCCCTCGCTTCCTCCTTTCTATTGTCCTGTCCAGGCGCGCAGGGGAGGCCCGACATCCTCCTCGAGTGGAACTACTACCAGGCGCCGGAGCAGCACCAGCCGCCGCCGATGGCGCTGCTGAGCACCGCCGCCGAGCTCATCGATGCCGCGCTACGTGGCGGCTTGAAGCAGGAGGGCGCGGACGGGGAGGGGGAGGGCGCGGAGGGCGGCGCGTTCTGCTTCCCGCGCGAGTGGGCCCTCCGCTCCGTCCTCGGGCTGGGCTACCGGGCGAGCGACGATATGGCGTGGCACACCGACATGGCGGGGGAGGAGGGCTGGTCCGGGCCTTCCTAGATGCGCCACCAGCACACAGAGGTGCGATGGCCTGCGTGCAGGTGTGGCCGGGGAGGGGGTTAGCCCCGTGGAGCCCTCCCGACGCCGATCCGACGGGGACCCTCCAGCCCTGTGGGCTGGCGAGCCCTCCGAGGTCGGAGAGGTCGGAGGGGTGGAAGCGGGAGGGCTCGAGGACGGACCTCTCTCGCTCCGGGAGGGTGGGAGGGGTGCAGGGTGGAGGGGTGGTTGGGCCCTCTAGCTCTGCCGAGATAGCCCTACCCCTCCCGCCACACAGAGGTGCGCAGCTCCACACTCCCACTCAGTGGCGGCTGGTCCGGATCTGGATACACCACAGCACGCGAAGGCATGGCGGGAGGGGAGGGCCGGCCCGCGGCCCCTTCCGTGAGCCTTCCGTGAACCTTCCGAGAACCTTCCGTGAACCTTCCGAGAAACCTTCCGTGAACCTTCCGAGAACCCTTCCGAGGGGAGGGCCGGTCCGCGGCCCCACTAGACCTGCGTGAGATGCGGGGAAGCGCAGGCCTCTGTGTACTCGCTCTGTGTACTCGCTCGGTGTCCCACAGAGGTCTGAGCTCCATATGCCGGGCGGTACCGCCCCTTGCCGCCAGGCATCCCGCGCAGTCAAGCTCGCATGGCCACGCATGACCGCGCCGAGCGCGGTAGGGTACGCGATATGCGCCGGTCTCGCGCCCTCACTGCTCCGGCTGCCCGCGCCGCGCAGGCTCTGCTCCATCTCCCTCGGCGCCACGGCGCGTTTCGAGTACCTCCCTGCGGCAGCGCCGTCCGCCCGGCGGCGGTGCGTGGTGCAAAACGAGCAGCCGCCCGTGAAGGTGGACCTCGAGTGCGGGGACGTGCTGCTGCTGCAGGGGGGGCTGCTCCCCCACCGCATCGTCGGCTGCACCCGCGAGCCGCCGCCATTCTTCGCCGGAATCTCGGCAGGCACGGCGCTCTGCCGCGTCAACATCCAGGTGCGCTTGTGGGGCCACGACCCGTCCCTCAGCCTCGGCTCGCTCCTCGAGGATGGCTTCCAGGACGAGCGGTCGGAGCGGATCTCGGCGGAGGGACCCTCCTGAAGAAAGGCTCTGGGGCGTGGGGAACACCGTCGTAAGGTAAGGTAAGGTAAGGTAAACTTCTCCACACACACGAGGTGGTGGGGCAAGGGGGGGCAACCCTCGCGTCTCCACGTCTACGTAACGACAGGGGAGCCCCACGGCATTCAAAGTGCAAGGCCCGTTGCGCGTGGGTGAGCGGTGTGTGTGTGTGTGTGTGTGTGTGTGTGTGTGTGTGTGTGTGTGTGTGTGTGTGTGTGTGTGTGTGTGTGTGTGTGTGTGTGTGTGTGTGTGTGTGTGTGTGTGTGTGTGTGTGTGTGTGTGTGTGTGTGTGTGTGTGTGTGTGTGTGTGTGTGTGTGTGTGTGTGTGTGTGTGTGTGTGTGTGTGTGTGGTGTGTGTGTGTGTGTGTCTCACGTCACTGCATTTTTGCCGGTTCCTCCCGTCGCCTCTTCTTTGTTCGAATGTTTTTCAATCCATCCTTCACGAAGAGCCCTCCCATGTAGCTAGCGTTCTTTGCGAATGTCTCGAAATGGCCAGCAGGCGCTGTCTGCTCGCGACCTGTGCGGGCCGCTCGTCCTCCTCGCCCTTCTTTCGTCCTCCCGTCCCTCCCCTCCACCATGGCCTCCTCGGCACTTCTTTCTCCATCCGCCTCGCCCTGCCTTTTCGTATCGTGCCGTTCGCCTTCCATTCGGTGACCTCCATGGCTGTCCGCCTCCTTTTGGGTGGCGCTCTCGATACCGTTGCGTCAACCTCGACGTCGCTGTCGCCCTCCCCGTCCCCGCCGTCGCCCGTGCCTCGGTTCGCGTCATTGGTAGCGTTTCCGTTGCCCCCTCGTGCTCCGCCGTCGCCTTCTCTGCTCGGGCCGTTCGCGATTTTGCTCCTCCTGCGTGTCGCCCCTCCGTCTCCTCCCCTGCCTTCGTCGTCATCGTCGCTGTCGCGAAAGCCCTCCGGTCCCTCGACTCCCTCGCCTATCCCCTCCGCTGCGTCGTCCCAGTTTATATCCTCATCCTCTGCGCATGTCGCCGCTCCCTTTCCATCTCCATCGTTGTCGCCTCCGCGTCGACTGCGGCGCTGCCTCTTTTCCCTCGCCACGCTGGGCCGCTGTCGCAACGATCCGCAACCAGCTCCTCCTCGCGCGAGCGGCGTTGTGGGGTGCACATTGCGACAGCGGCTGTTTTCTTCTTTAGGTGGACGCGTCTCCTTTTCTTATTTCCGCCCCCCCCCGGGGGGGGGGGTGTCGCCAACTTCTTTTTGCGACGAGAAGCTACACAGTACACTGCCTACTCTCCCCGGGCTCTCCTGCGCCCCCTCGAGTGTCGCCGACCAGCGCGGCGAATGCCGAGCCCGGCCGCCGCACCAGCGCGAGCTGCCACGGCCTTGGCGGTCGCCGCCTCCACCGCCGCCCTAGCAGCCTCCGCCGCAGCCTCGGCGGTCGCCGCCTCGGCGACGGCCTCAGCCAACACCAGCCTCGTCCCCTGCCGCCTCCGCCGCCACCACTGCCGCGCCCACCCTCGGGCTCGGCCCCGCCGTGACGCCGAACCGAACCCTCTCCTCGTTGAGAGCGCCGCGAGAAGCCTGAGCATCCCCTCCTTGTCCAACTGCGCGGCTTCTCACTGCCCCGGCGCCCACGTCTCGACCTTCTTGGGCAGCAGCTGGTTCGACAGGTCATCTCCGTGGCCTAGGCAGGCGTGGTCGCCCTTGCCCCATGTAAAGACGGCGCCGTCGGCGGTGAGGGCGATGCTGTGATCGATTCCAGCCGACACAGCGACGACGCGCTGGCCAGCCAAGGCCTCGATCTTCTTGGGCAGCAGCTGGTTCTGTTGGTCGCCGTGGCCCAACCTGCCAAAGAGTCCACAGCCCCAGCTCCAGACGGCGCCGTCGGCGGTGAGGGCGAGGCTGTTCCCGTCTGCAGCCGACACAGCGACGACGCGCTGGCCCGCCAAGGCCTCGACCGTCTTCGGCAGCAGCTGGCGCTGCCCGTCGCCGTGGCCCAGCCGGCCGTGGACTCCATCGCCCCAGCTCCAGAGAGCGCCGTCGGCGGTGATGGCGAGGCTGTGGAAGTATCCAGACGCGACAGCGACGATGCGCTGGCCAGCCAAGGCTTCGATCTTCTTTGGCAGCAGCTGGTTCTGCTCGTCGCCGTGGCCCAGCCTGCTAACGCGTCCACTGCCCCAGCTCCAGAGGGCTCCGTCGGCGGTGAGGGCGAGGCTGTGGTGCTGTCCCGCCGAGACAGCGACGACGCGCCGCCCAGCGAAGCCCTCGACCTTCTTGGGCAGCAGCTGGTTCTGCTCGTCGCCGTGGCCCAACCGGCCTTGCTCTCCATAGCCCCAGCTCCAGACAGAGCCGTCGGCGGCGAGGGCCATGCTGTGGTACGCTCCAGCCGAGACAGCGACGACGCGCTGGCCAGCGAAGGCCTCGATCTTCTTCGGCAGCAGCTGCATCTGCTGGTCGCCGTGGCCCAGCTTGCCATCCTCTCCATCGCCCCAGCTCCAGACGGCACCGTCGGCGGCGAGGGCGAGGCTGTGCGCGAATCCCGCCGACACGCTCACGGCGCGCTCGCCGCCCAGCGGGGAAGAAGGGAGCCGGGTCGGCGTGTTGAGCCGCGCCACGCCCTCGCCGTGGCCGAGGAGGCCTGGCTGCCAGATCTCAGCCTTTCCGCACGACGAGAGCCGCCCCTCGCCGTCGATGAAAACGCTGTGCCGCTCGCCTGCCGCCGCCCTCGCCGGCGGGTTGTACTCGCACAGCAGCGCAGCGAAGCACAGCCACCGCACGGCGCAGCCCTCGTCCTCTGGCTGCGCCGGCAGCTCGAAGCCGCGCTCTTGCGCCCACAAGCGGATGCCCTCCAGCGCAAGCGAGGCGTGGAAGAGCAGCGAGACGGCCGCGACGCGAGCGATGTCGACGGGGTCGCAGCGAGAGAGGGCGCGCGCGAGGAGCTCCGTGGGGAGGTCGAGGAGGCGGATGGGCGGCGGCGCGTCTGGCGAGGGCGCGGCGGTGGAGGAGGAGGCAGGCGGTGCGAGCGGCGGCGGCAGGGTGGACATCGCGAAGAAAAGAATTCAGGCCGCGTAAGAATTGACCACGTGGTGCTCCTCCCATATACACCCCTCTCCTTAAAATCCCTGTGTGGTGGCGGCGTGCCGTCCTCCCATCCCTCCCTTCGGTTGTCCGTTTTGTCGCTTCCCTTTCTTTTTCTCTGTTTGTGTTTTCTGTTTTTTAGCCTCGATTGGCCCCACGCTCAACTGGAGGGCGCTCTGGCCTCTGGGTGTGGGCGTCTGGCTCTCTCGCGAGCGCGGAAGCGTGCACGTTTTTAGAGCAGAGAACGCCACGCTTCGTCCTGGGAGATACCGCGCGCTCACGTCACCCACGCATGTCGACGCAGAGGGCTTCTCTCGCCTCGCAAGCCGCCTTGACTCCGCCGTGTTGCCAGTGCTGTCCTGGCAAGACGAGCCGCTTCAGCTGGGGGAAGGCGCCGCCGCGCAGCGCGTCGGCCAGCGCATCGACGCCGGCGGTGGCGAAGCTGTTGCCGTGCAGGCTCAGGCTCTCAAGCGCGCGCAGGCCGCGCTTGCCGCTCTCGGCGACCGCCTCAACCCCGACCGTGTCGAGGTGCGTGTGGTAGAGCTGGAGGCTCTTGAGCCGCGGCAGCCCGCCCCGCGCCAGCGCGCCCGCCAGCGCCGCCACGCCCGAGCCGGAGAGAGCGTTCTGCGAGAGATCGAGCGCCTCCAGACGGGCGCGCGCAGGGTGCGCCGCCATCGCCGCGAGCGCCACGCACGAGGCGTCGCCGAGCTCGTCGTGGCCGAGGCCGAGGGCGCGCAGCAGAGGGCACGCGCCGCGGGCAAGGGCGTCCAGCACCTGCGTCGGGGCGTGGACACGGCCTCGTGCAGTGTACTCAGAGCACCGCGTGAACGCACGCACGGGCTATGAAGTGAGTCCAGCTGACCGCGGCCGAATACGTGTCCTCTCGAGTGCGGGTCGGAAAACACGGATCCGTATTCAGCTTCTAGGGTCGAGAACCGGGCGCACGCCCTCGTCGCCGAGGGATTTGCCGCTGAGGTCGAGCCGCTCGAGCGAAGGGACCGCACCGCAGTCCAGAAGGCGGGCGAGCGAAGCCATGTCTGTCGCACGGAGCGCGGGGGTCGGGTGGATCCGCCTCGTCGCCCGCAGCCGCGCGGGAGCCATCGCCAAATGCTGGCAGAGCGTGCCGATGCGCGCCCGCCACCGCTCGTGCGCCGCGATCCCCGGCTGGACCGCCGCGAGCGCGGCGCGGCTCGTCGAGGCAAAGGCGGCGGCGGCGGCGAGGGCGAGCGGGCTGGCGGTCAAGCGGCTGCAGACGACGAGCAGCACGTCGTGCGGGAGCTCCACGCCAGAGAGGGAGATATTCCTGATCAACTCGGGAATGGCTGGCTGCCGGGGCTGCTGCGGGCGCAGGCGCCTGGCGGCCCCGACGTTTTTTCTTGAAAATTCTTATTTTGATGTAACGTCGGCCGGACAGGAGACTCACGGTCGCGCGGTCTACCCGGGCTTTTATGGCCAAGGCCCGTGTCAGGAAGCGCGGCCTCGTCGAGCACACGCGCCACTTCTTCGCCACTTGGTCAGCAGAGTCGCGAGCTCACCTCCAAGACGCCCACATCAGTGTCAGCCTGCTCTTCGTCGTCGCCGGCGCTCTCATCGGGGTGACTGCCGCGGCCTTCTCGGACGCATCGCAGCAGGTCGAGGACTGGCAGCAAGCGTGGGCCGAGAGGGACATTCGGCTGGCGTGGGTCGTCATGCCGCTCGGGCTCACGCTCGTGGTCCTCCTCGTGCGGGTCTTCTTCGACGGGACGGCTGGCAGCGGGATCCCGCTTCTCTCCGTCGGCATCGAGCTGCAGGACGGAGACCCCAATTTTGTGCGGGTCTTCTCCCTGCGCATCCTCTTTGGCAAAATCCTGCTCACGCTCCTCGCCCAGCTCTGCGGCGCATCGAGCGGTAGGGAGGGGCCGACGGTGCAGGTGGCATCCATCCTGCTCGTCACCACGCTGAGGGTGGGGTACAGGCTGCTGCCGTGGGTGAGGCAGACGCTCGATCTCCAGATCGGCGAGGGGCTCGGCACCTATCGCTCGCTCTACATGCGCGAGGCGGCCGTCGTCGGCAGTGCGGCCGGCATCTCGGGCGCCTTCAACACGCCGCTGGGCGGCATCATCTTTGCTATCGAGGAGATGGGAAACCGGTGCCCATCCACGCCCAAGCCCAAGCCCAGTGCATCGGCATAAGCCCAGTGCATCGGCATGAGCTGTCCAACCGGCGGGCTCGCAGGTACACCCACACCCTCGGCCACGTCATGATCATCGCGGTCGCCGTCGCCGGCGCCGTCTCGATCGCGGTCGAGGGCTACCACGTCATCTTTGACGGTTTCGACCAGGACCGGGACGACCTGAACGAGTACGAGATCCTGTGGGTCGTGCCGCTGGTCGCCATCCCGTCCGGCCTGCTGGGCGGTCTGTGGGCGGTGGGGCTGCTGCTCGGCGTGCACGTCAAGCGGCTGCTGCTGGCGTATGGCTGCTTTGCCCCGTACGCCATCTCGCTCGCGTGCGGCCTCGCCCTCGCCGCGACTGGCTTTTGGGCGGGCGGAGAGACGTGGGGGAGCGGCTTCCGGCAGGCTCGCGCGGTGCTTGTCCCCGAGCTTGAGGGGTTCCCCGACGAGGCCGGCCCCCTCGCAGCCGGCGTCCAGCCCTCGCGCCTCTTCTTCCTGCTCAAGGCGGTCGCGACGTGGCTCTCCTTCTGGTCCGGCATCCCGGGAGGCATCTTTGCGCCGTCCATCGCCATTGGCACCGGCTTCGGAGCCTTCATGCACGACGTCCTCATCCAGCCGGCCATGCGCGGCACGCTCATCATGGACACGGGGCCCCACCGGCCGGTCATCGCCGCCATCGCCGCGTGCGCGTACTTCGCCGGCGT